ACCGTATTTCTCTATTGGAGCTACGAAACCTATTTCTTTTTTAAAAATTCCAAAGGTTCATACTTTCCATAATTCCCTTTTTGTATTATGGACTTTGGAATTACCTAAATGACAAATGAAGAAAAAAAGATGAATATTTGATATTTTTATGACAAGTGAAATCAATATTCTACATAATGAAGATACCATAATAACTAGAATAACATCACTAAATTTTATTCTAAAAATCAGATCTACACATTGAAGATTTCTTTTTCTATCGGGCGCCATCCTGTCACGACTTCCAGCCCTATGCAGTATTCTGAATTCAGACTTTAAAACAGTCTGCTTATTGATTAAAGTGCTTTTTTGTGTGAAATATAGTTTAGAACCACGAAAATAATAATTCATTACTTGAAAAATGTTATTTACGCGAATCAAGAGATAAATATATTTTACTGCAATGTATTTTAATTCAAAGCTTAAAACTTTCTGCTACAGAATTGTTCATGCATTCTGCATGCTCAGTAGATTTTTAACGTGAAATTAAGTTTAGAATGACGAAAAGAGTAATTTGCTTTTTCATAAGGTTATCTAGAATAATCAGATAAACTTAATAATTGACTAACAACCATATACATCCAAACTTCACCAACGATTGCCTTCTATAACAGCACTATGGTTTAATTTCAATTCTCTTTTAAAATATGTTGAAGGAAAGACAACAAAAGATTAACTTACCAAAGAAAGAAATCCTGAGCCAGAGAACAACTGTTATAATAATTATCTACGATCAGGCAGACAAACACATTTTCGTTGTTTTATCCGAAATAGCGAATATAATAATCCTATCGTAAGCTTTATCTCAGCTAGTGACTCTCGCGATGAGAGGTGGTTTACAAGTGGACATAATTGAGCTCACACACGTCCTCTTATGCGCTCAATTTAATTTGCGATTATAATAATTTTAGCCATGATGTAAGTCACCTTTGCAAACTAAAATAGCAACAACAAAAAATCGCCTTGCCGCTAAGAGGCTCGTCAACGATGCAAAAAGCTAGATCCGCCCTTTAGCGATATGATAATCCTAGCCATGATGACTATGAGTTACCTGTGTAAGCTCAATATGCTGATTAGCATTTCAATCCAATGGCCGGTGTAATAACGATAATTTTATCCTGCGTCAATAATTCATTGGTTTTTTGATTGGTTAAAAGTGTGTCACCTGATAAAAAAAACACTTTCTTGCAAAAAGTACTTTGTACCTCAACATATTTCTATAAAAATAATAGAGTAAGGACAATCTTATGTCGATATTCGTTATTTCTTCCCTTCATGCAAAATGGCTTGTGATAATCACTGCAGGTTGTTTATCATAATCCCGGGTCCCTTTTTAACATAAAGTCTGGGCTTTCTCTAGCGTTCACTTGCTTACCAAACTTCTTGTGGTCAAAGGACCCCGGAAGACCAGCTATCAGCTGGAAAGGGTGATTCTTCCCATATGTGGAGAATAAATAAATACAAAGAATACCCTGTCCGCACTAGTTTGGCCAGGGGGGATTAGAACTCCCTGCATGGTCAATGACAGGGGGTTATCTCATCAAATCAGAAAAAGGGGCTCATGGGGGTCCAACGGGTACCGCTTAGGCATTGTTTGCTATATAGAGGGCGCAAGTAGCTACAAGTGGTGCAGTCCCGCTTAAGACCCTTTTTGATTATTTAAAGGCCACATATTTAATCTCCCTGTGCCACTTTGTATTCATCATGGGAAAGATATACCAAAGGCACTGGCCAAAACTACAGAAGGACGTGAGATGAGAAGGCACATGACGAAGATTTGCGACCTGTAGGTTTTACACCTTCTTTCCTCATGTTGTTTTTCATTATATTTTATCATCTTCTCGCATTACCATATTGCTCCGTTTAGTCTCATTTCACAACGCCCCCTATCGTCAGAGCATGGTCAGAGTCAGCAGCCTAACATGTTAGCCTATGGACGTTTTTTTTTTTTAATCGTTAAAAATTCATTTTTTGTTTAAACGAAAAGCACATCCACCCCGACGTACGTTATCACTATCTCTTTCATTGGAGCCCTCATGTCTCATTGAATTTTGAAAGTTCACCCACCGTAATTTTTCAAAATAGGTTGCAAGCTCGTCATTGCCTATAATACACATGTGAAACAAGTCTAACTTTGGACTCAGTTTGCCAAGCGATTTAAAGATTATAGGTCGAGCACACGAAACATAAAAAGCATGAATCATCATAGATCACTTCTGCCTATTTCATTATGTCCATTTTCATCCAACCCCCACCGTAATTTTTCAATTTAGTAAAAGCAAACATTTAGCCGAGGTAAGCAAAAACATGAATATTCATGACACACCATGGACTATTCGGTTATTAACAGAAGGGTGCAATCAGTCATCACGTCAAACTCCCCTAATTGCCACCAAGTATTTCATATAATTATATAGTTTGGTATGTTTCTTTTACTCACTCATGAATTATTGAATATCAATGATGGTTTAAAGAAATGTAAAAGAAATTTTAGTTGATATTAATTAACAAAGTAATTTATATTTAGGAAAGCAATCTCACATACAAAATTACTATCAAGTGTCGTCTGCTACGCCGATTGTCGCCTGCTTCGTTAAAGGCACATATTTATCGTTTGGACTGTAAGGTATACCAGGGAGATTTGTATTTTCCTGCAGTACAACGTATAGCAGGAAAATGTTGTATATGCGGATCCTTTTAATGATTACGTAATGGAAGTGGCGAGGCGGTATGGTTTGAATAACTTAGGCAGGTGAAAGTTATTGTATTGAGAAGGAAAGGAATGTTCAGAAAGGCATAGAGAGGGAAGTGGGCGTGGTAGCCATTCTAGCTTTGCACCTACATCAGTACGAGAATACACCCGACGGCGCGGTGGCCTGTACTTATAGCGCGCGAACACATCACACCCAATGGCATACACCCGGTACCCTGCAACACAGTGGAACATTCTAAGAAATTAAAAAATTATCTACAAAATAGACCTCTAGAATCATCTGAGAAGTAACTTACCCTATTCTGACTACTTCAATGAATGTCAAGATAACAATGGCTGCTTTTCTATCCAAAAATAAAACTAGTTTGCAATTAGAAATAGTAAATTTCTCGATAATTTCACAAAGCATATTTGCCGACGCATTCAATATGACGTCATTGACAGCTGATTGGCTAGTTTGGTAGTGACGTCGAACGAGCTATGTTTGTGCTGTAGTGATCGAGCGAGCGAAAATGAGACAATCGGAGCAATATGCTGTTTCCGGTGGTATATGATCTCTTTTCATAACCAATTTCGTTGATTTTTTTTCCCCCTCATTTTTTTATTGTTGTTTATTGTAAAGTTTTGTTGTAATGCCTGATCGAAATTTGTACCAACAATTTTTAAATAATTTAGATTTTACACCACTCTCCGAAAAGTTATCTCCTATCAATGAGGAAAATACTCTATATGGTCCGAATCAAAGTTGTTTATTGCCTGATGAATTTAATTATTTTGCTAAGACACATAATTTAAATAAAATATTTACCTCTCTTCATACTAATTGTAGAAGCATTATAAAGGATTATGATAATCTTGTCTCTCTTGTAAATTCAATTGATCATCAATTTTGTGCAGTAGGATTATCAGAGACTTGGTTGAAACCAATTGATCCCGTTTATAATCTTGATGGATATGAATGTGTTGGAAATGAACGACAAAATCGCAATGGTGGTGGAGTGGCTATATATGTGCTTAATGATTTAAATTATAATCGTAGGCTTGATCTAGACATCAATAATAATGATTTTGAATCTGTCTTTATTGACATTAAAACAGATAAGAAAAGTATTATACTTGGAACTATATATATATAGACCACCTAATACATGCCTTCCATCATTCTTAGAGTCTTTGAGTTTAATATTAAACATAGTAAATAAAGAAAATAAACTGATATATTTTGCTGGAGATGATAATATCAACTTATTGAATGACAGTTCTTGCCAACAAATAAATTATTTCTTGGATGTCTTCATGGTTAATTCTATGTTCCCTGTGATTCAGTACCCTACTAGGGTAACAATCAATTCTGCGACATTAATTGATAATATATTCACTAATGATATCGAAAATATAAGTAGCGGGATTCTATTTGTTGAAATAAGTGATCATTTTCCTATATTTTGTGTACATGATAATTCAATTGAAAATAATTGTAAACTTGTATATATTAAACGCGACAGGTGTGAAAATATTATTCGTCAATTTATTTGTAAACTTGAAACTATATCTTGGTGCATAGACAATGTTAATCCCAATTTAAATTATGATTATTTTTTATTCCAATTCAAATCTTTGTATGATGAATGCTTTCATATTGTACGTAGATCCTGTAAAAAGAAGAAAGATAAATCTTGGTTTAATGAACAATTACGTAAAATGTGTATTAAAAAATGTCACCTATATAAAAGATTTATTCATAAGCCAACTCTTAATAATGAAATCTCATATAAAACTTTGAGAAATAAATGTAACAGTGAAGTTTAAAAAAAAAAGAATAGATATTATCGTAATATGTTTATAATGTGAAAAATTATATGAGCAAACTTGAAAATGTACAAATAAGGCTATGGGTAAAAAAAAAAATTAAACAAAATAATGTTGAACAAATTACTGTTTATAATCGATCTGTTACTCTTGGTAATGATATGGCTAACGAATTTAATGATTTTTTGTGAATATTGGTCCTTCATGGACACAAAATATATATGATTCTCAGTTTTGTTGTAAAAATAACAATGTGCAATATTTGACTAGGAATCCTAAATCTGCCTTTTTCACTCCAATATCAGCGAAAGAAATTATTGATATCGATTGTAATTTAAAGAATTGATCACGTACTGGTTCACCTGATCCACATAATATCCTAGGTAGAACTATGGATCCTTGCGCTCGATATCCATAGGTACGACCTATGCCAGTGCCGTCTCCCCGTCTTTAGTGACGCAGGATCCAAGGTCTAACCAGGGAAACTGGTCTCCGTATAGCAGCATGTACATTACGCTGCTATTGCTTACCACCGCGTTGTCAAGCGGTGGATGGAAGCATCGAAAACACAGCCAGAGCTCCAGCGCCGCAAATCGCCGCTCAGTGCACGCCGATAGCCTGGGCTGGGCGACTCGCTGCTAGCGCTGGCCATGAATTGGCCGGCAGGGCATTCAGTGACCTGTTTTCATGTCGACTTGGGAGGTAAAAAACCTCATAAAGACCGCGTTTTTCTGTGTTTTATTGAGTAACATCGCTACTATCCCAGTGGTAAGTCTTTAGTCACCATTTTGTATAACCTAGATATAAAATAAGAATATAAAAAACTGTAGAAGTGGAGATTATCCACCTCCAATAAAATGTGATTTCGTGGACAATCGCATCCCGGCCCGGCCCAGTGCGGTGCCAGTGCAGTTTGGGCAAGTTGGGTAACAAGAAATAAGAAAATAAGGCAAGTGGTAATGATCTGGGCCTTGTGTTAACAATAAGTTTAACGCCAGTTGCAAAATGACAATGGACCAGTCTAGATCATTGTTGCATGCACAAATTGTTCAATCTGCTGACCATTAACCACTGCAATCAGAATAGACCTATATGCAATCGAACGCAAAACTTAGTGTTACTGTTAGTGTTACAGGGCCCAGATATTTTTCTTGTTACTCAGAAACCTTGGAGTAGTACATTTAAATGTTGCATTGTGTGTACTTGTATTTGTGGGTGTAGCATATAGCTTATGGACTATCGACGTATACACATCAACATTGTATGGCCATAGGCCTACATTTTGATGTTTATTTGTAATGCGTATCGACTTTCAGACTGCGAAGTTAACTTTTCAATGGCAGAACTAACCGAGTCAGAATAATAAGTAGGGGAAAACGGCTTGTTTCTTGGTGTAGATTGTAGATAAAGGATGATTCAATGTTACAGACTTTCTAGGCCTACCTCTAGACTGCACTTCTTTTTTAAATAATGGGGCATTTGCATTAAAAACTGTTTGGCACCTTGGTAATCAGCAAACAACAACTCTGGATTCATGATGATCTGGAAAGTTCCCAAAGAGCTTTGATTAAAACTTAAAAACATATTTGGATAAAGATCTCTGCATTTACATATTGATAAAACACTTTTGCGACTCAACAAGAGCTCCCATAAGCAAAATGGTAATGTTTACTTTATTCCTTGCCTTTTGTAGTACACTTCTGTAGGAAATCACCACATAGCTTTCTTTTGTGCATAAAGTACTATAGCTAACCCAGAAGTATGAATATAGGCATACAAAAAATGTATTAGATTTACTATGCACAGATGATGATTCAGGCACAGTTATTTTTGTAATATATGCGGTTAAAATAGGCCATAATTTACACAGCATTTTAAAGAGATAAATGTGCGTACATGCACTGAATAGGACCCCACATACATATTGCGTACATGTAGCTTGTCAGGTTATTTTCGTTTGTTTCAATATTGTAACAGTAAAGCAATCTGCACAAGCGGGTACGTGCATGTGACATGGACAGAAAAGATAGATGTGTACATTCACTTGTATTCACCTGTCTTCTCAGGCTTCTTAGTAAGATAATGCCTTGTAATGCCCACCCATGGCTCATCAAAAATAGCACTGCAATGGTTTCATTGAGATACACCTAGGTCTATCTCTATATATTATATATATTATATATATTGGTAGAATTTGTGTCCAACAGGTGCATAGTGATGATCATGATAATTTTTCAAAAGTATCAAGCTATATTTTGCCTTCTGCTGTTTTTTTAATTATTACTTTAAAAATTAGTTACAAGCAACCATACTGCAATCTATTAAAATATGGATATAATCTTGCAAAGTCTTAAGGTCTTAATTAGAGAACATAGGAAAACAACAGATTACATCACTCAAATATGGACATTGCTTAATAAGGATCCACATGTAGCCATGAGAAATGTAGAAATAATAACCATCACAGATAATAAGTGTCCTGATGAATTTTTTATTCGTCCACTATAAGTTATCATTTCATGATTCCTGGAATTTGTATTTAAATTAAAGTAAAAATATCTTTTATCTTTTGTTTCTTTTATTTGACAGAGCTACCAATGTTATAACCTCCAACACTGTCAGGCACATGAACCGGAGTTCTAAACTTCTGAGTGGACCCAACGAAATGCCGGTTTCCCGTAGAGACAAACATGGGCCAGGTGGTTTTCCTCGCTGTGGTGGATAACGCAACAATGTCAACATTACCTAGTGTCCAGAATTCCAGATGGCCTTTGCTGTCTTCTTACCTGCTCAATCTTGCTGTAATTGATACTCAAATTTCCAGCCTGTCGTATCACATCAAGTGTGTCAGCACAGTCATGTTTGAGGAATCTTCCTTTGAACAAAAAATGGCATTTCCACTTACATGTAAGTTCAACTGTGAAGAGAGATGAAGCATTTCTATGCTGTTGGATCCGAAATTCTATTTCCTTGTTGCATCGATCATAGAAAAGCAGTGCATATCATCCTCTGGAATGACTAAACAGTGCATCAAACTTGTTCAGAAAAAAGACACGAAAAACTACTTAAGGACTGAGTAACGCCAGCTATGTTGAAACATTTAGGTTATGTCACCTTCAATCCTGAAACAAACAGGCAAGATGATATGCCACAAGTTCGAAAGATCATTGCCCAACTTGAAGCTTCTTCAAAAGCCCTGGATTAATATCACTGTGGTATCAATATCTTGATACAGACCCTCTCATTAAACTTTCTCAGACTATGTTAAATTTTCATACGCAAACTACAAAAAGGTAAACAGTATATGATAGGACCAGGTGGGGGTAACCTCCCCCCTCTTCTCTCTCTCTCCCTCTCTCTACTGTTTCACTATCCACTTTATTTGCCTTTCTCTCCCCCTCTCATACCTCAACTGATACTTGTTCTATCTGGTTAAGATTTACAACCACATGTTTTTATCTATTTGAATTGGTTCTTCAATTTAGACTTGTGAATTACTTGTACAGTCAGATAAGGTATTGTTTAACTGTATACTCTCTCCATTCAATCTATATATATATAGATCTCTCTCCTTCTCTCTATTTCTTCAGATCTCTGTTCTCATTTTAACCTTTGATAAAATGAATATCTGTAATTAAGCCTTATTAATGATTTTTTGACAGATTAAGCCATTTCCCCATGTGATTGCTATTTCTAATTAAATTGTGTGTTATTGTTCTTTCCATCTTTCTCTCATTGGTCTTTCATCCTTGGTATCTCCACCTCTCTCCACACCACCCCTGTCTCTCACACACATACATCCTCTTGTCATTATTGTATCCTCTTTCTGTTTCATCTGTTTTATTTCAATTCTAATAAAAACTTGGTTCAAAGGCCTTACACTGTTTGATTACGAAAATTAAACCATATTTAATGGGCATTATGTTGATGATAGTTTGTATTTATGCGTATCAGTTTTACCAGCTTTCTTGTGCAGCAAGCCTTGTAGTTTGGTTATTTGCATCGTCTTTTATAGAAGGTGTAAAATTATTGTTCATATTCATTTGTACTTGGAATGATTTTTATTCTTGTTTACATGTACTGTAGATGCACAGTCAAACAAGTCCATAGTGCATTACAGTGGCAAATTAATTTATGCAACCATGTAACTCTATGCATGAATTAACAGCTGTGGAATTCCAAATTATGATCTTATCTCATGATTTGATTTTCAAGAAAATTGATCAGTCGTGCCATTATATTGGTCCAGTCATTGAAAGGATACTTGTTTCTTATCTCCTTCTCCTTCTTGCTTTTTTCTTCTAGATTTTTTTCCCAATTTGATGGGAGGAGAACACAGACCTCCTCCATGAAGAAAGTGCATGCCATTTAAATTGTGCAATTGATGTAGAAAATATAATTATATTCAGGTTGTGCAATGACGTACATGTAATTGTGCTCCTTGTCTTGGACTTGTAAAAGTGGATTTGGATGTAGGGCTAAACAATATTTTTAATTTTCGGCTTTACGTATGTTCTCGAGTTTTCATCTGATAACTGATGAATTTGGGGAGATCGCTTAGGTGTATCTGTCAAGAACGTTATTTTCTTTCTTAATATTTCATAATGTATATTGCATGATGTAATAAGTTTGTCATTAACCTGATGTTGATTTTAATATATTGACTATTTTGTAATACACTGTACATCGATTTGGGGGATAACAGACGTTACCTTTTATGTTTTAAAGTAGCTGATTTCATCAAATTTCATTGAAAGAGAGGTGTCCTTGATAGTCCGGCAGCCAAATCCAGATTATTGGCCTAACCTTGTTTTATGGTCTATAGTTTTTTTTTCAATGGATTTTGATTGCTTAGACCTTCTATTTCAAGAATCCGATTGCTGACACTCTGTCAGCCTTGAGCAATTTAAGATATATGACGTCATACAAAATGGCCGCCAAAGTACATGATTTTCCTTTAAAAATGAATAATAAATATATAATAAGGACTTTTTCTTCAATTTTTGGCAGCCAAATGTCTGTATCTCTCTAGGACCATCACTAAAAATATGTTTCGTGGTGTTGCATGGCCAGAGATGACCAGCTTATTTGCATATTTTGAAATAGCGCCCTCTATAAACATATTAATTTGAATAAAATATGTGTGCCAGCCAAATGCCAATTTCTTAAATCTATGTCACGTTGAAATCATATTAAATGCTTTTTGGGGGAAACAATTGCAGTTGTGCTGCATTAATCTTTCATAGTGTTTGGTACAAATTTAGATAGGGTAGGTGTGGGGAATGGAAGACCCTTAAGCACATTTGCATAATTTACATAAACATGAACAATGTTACACATACAGACATTTTTGCTTTCTCTTTAGTATTTTTTCTCTTTATTTGGTAACGAAATTGTGGTGATGATGTAACTGATTAATAAGATAACAATGATTAATGACGTCATCACCAAAGGTCTCTCATTACCTACATGTGTAGGTAATAAGGGACAGTTACAAATCAAGACATTTTAAATACAATTTGAATGAAAATGGGATTGTTATAGTTAGTTCAAACACTTTTTGAATGATATACATGCAGCCAATGAACTTACTATAATTTTGAAACGATTTTAAAATAATGGGGCCCAAAATATTTCTGTAGTTTTTTGTTTACCGTAATAAAGGTGCTCTCAAATATGTTAAAATACTTTCAGAATAATTTTCTGGCAATATGACTTTTACATTTATCAAACTCACAGCATAGAAACAACTTCTTAAAATTAAATGCATTCAAATTAGAATGGTGACACGTACAACCAAATATGTTTCATGATAGTGCCTTTCAACATGAAATGAACAACTGGGGAGAAGTAGGCCCCCATCTTGGACCTGGTGTCCCCCATTACCTACACACATTTCTGATCAGACACCATTCATAATGTGAATTGAAACACCCATTCACAACACACAGTGGCCATAAACTTTCTGTGATGTTTGGCACATTTCATAAACTTCCTTTTAAAACTATTTTTTTAAGGGCCACCCCTAAATATCTGCATACACCACAACATTCAGTGAAAATTGTGTTTTTATATCAGAGCAAAATTTTACGATCAAAATTGCTTATCTTGGTCAATTTTGCCAATTTTCTCGTAGAGAGAACGCACTGTATAGTCTTCGAAATTGGATATATGCAGCAGTGTTGTTGAAGGCCACATATGTCGCTATATCAATATTGGATCCAACACGGACAGACAGTGATGGGTTCAAGCTTGGTGGTCTCCAATTCCCTACACCTACCCTACATATGTCAAGAAAAAAATGGCTATGAAAGAATTTATTTTTCAACAAATCGGTGAGAAGTGGTTTTACGGCACACATTATTATTCAATTAATAGGCTTTATTTAGACCAGCATTGCTCCAACGTCAGTGAATGTGGATAAAGCAGTTGACATCTATACTACACAGATGCATGATTTTCAAAAGAAATTACCTTGTGGATTCTATGTCAAAATTTCCAAGAATGTTCAAATTACCGTGGCAGCCATGAAGAAGTCAATGTTGGGGTACGAAAGTCTATGAAAAGTTGATCTACTCCAGAGTAATAGGACTGCAGACAAGTTCAAGAGAGGTCAATGTCAAGGACATTTTGTCATAAGAGCTTTCACCAGTCCCAACAGCACTTTTTGATGATTCTGGAAACGAGCACTCCCATGTCAAAGACGGACTTATAGAATTTGACAAAAGTTGAGATGTCAGCCAGGCATGAGACACTGGAACAACCTTGTACAGTCATTGATGGTTGTGCTCTGCTGTGAATGAAAATCTGATGATGTTTGCTTGGTGTTTGACAGATCCGAGAGTATTTAGAGGTCATAACGGGTCGAGAGTCTTCCAACTGAGTCCCGCGTCACTGCTGCCCTCCAAGAAACTATCTCTTACTGTTCGTCGTCGTCGTCGTCGTTGTCATATAGATCATGGCTCACCCTTGTGACCCGTTTGATGAGACCTTTTGATCGGCATCTGTCTCCTGCAATCCGGTAGAGTGTCTTTAGTATTTAGAGGGTGGCTAGTGATTTCCCTAAGGTCGTCAGTCCATCTGAGCTTGAGTCTTCCTTTGTTACGTGTTTCTTCAAAGGTACCTTGAATGATAATTTGTCAAGGTTGTCTCCTGATCTTCTACTAACGTGACCAAACTATTGTAGCTTGTACTTGTCAATCCTGGTAGCAAGTGGCGGTTGATCTTCGATGATGGACATTGTGTACATTGGTGTTGTAATCTCTTCATGATATCCCAAGTAGCTTCCTCCAACACCACATTTCAAAGGCAGATTGCCGAGCTTCCACCCTCCTTGACAATCATTGACCCAAGAACATTATATAAACTTGTCCACTTGATCAACTTCTTCTCCATCAACCACCATGCTCTGTTGCATGTAGTTAATTTCCACCAATCATGATCTTGGTCTTTTTCACATTGAGGTAGGGTCCAAATTATTCACTTGCATCCTTCACTCTTTTGTAAGGAGTTCTAGTAGTTCTTCTGATGTTCTTGTTATAAGTGTTGTCAGTGGCATACTGAGCAAAAACACTTGGAGGGGCAGAAAAACAATCTGCATCACCACCACTCATACATGTTACATGCAGGCCCCGCAGAACTTTTTTTTTAAAGCGGGTGGGGGGGGGGCTGAAGTATTTACGATCAGGAAGAGAGGAGCGCAAATTGGCGTGGTGTTCAAGGGGCACAGCCCCCGGAAGCTCAAGGGTTTCAGGCATTTATTAAC